GATAAAGAAACTGCAGTATATGCATACAAGAGTATACTACTTAGAAACAAAAAGGAGTGAACCACTGACACAGACTACAACATAGATGAATTGCAAAATAATTGTACCAAAATAAGCCAAACAAGAATTTGTATTAAATAGTTTTATTTTTATAAAATTCTAGAAAATTAAAACTAATCCAAAAATGACTGAACACAAATCAGAAGTGCCTTGAGGATTTAGAAGGTGGAGGGTAGGGACATGATGTGGGTAGGAAGGGACAGTAGGAGGGAAGAGTTTATAAAAGAGTACAAGGAAACTTTCAAAGTGAGAGATAAGTTCATTATTTTGCTTAGGTTGCAGGTTTCGCTGTTTTATACATTTGCTGAAATTTTCAAATATGCATATTAAAAATATGTCACTTACTGTATGTTTTTTTTATAATGAAACTGCAAAAACAAAAAATTCAGTAGAAAAGTACAAATGAAAAAAATTATTGGCATAATAGCAGATAACAATGTGCTTATGCATTATCTTTATAATGTTATTGTTAGAACAGCAACATGCTACTGTCATGCAAGAGCTGGCAAATAATTTTTCCATTATAACTACCCCAGTCTTTTCCTTATTCAAGTACAGAGGTCAATCTGGAGTCCATATTTGAAAAATGATATAATGAAATTGAACACAGAATCTATTCATTGCATATGTAATTGGCTTGACTAAACAGTATAAGCATTAAATCATTTTACATTTATAAATAATAGCTAGTAATTTTACCCTCTCAAAATTCCCTTTTTTCTTTTGTTAAGCCACTTTCCTTAGTAAAAGTTTCAACTTGGGACCATAATTTCTTCAGGTATGCTGGTAATTTAAATTTTTCTATGTCTTTGTAAAACTTTCTCTCTTTTTTAACCTATAATTGAACTATTGATCCAAGCTGCCAGGGCTGGGAGGTGAGGAGTGGTCTCTCCTCCCATACTTCCCTTACTCTTGTCCTTTCTTCTCCCTGTTTTACCCCTGGGATATGCTTCAGCAGCAAGCATTGGGTGAGGTTTTGCATCCTCTTGCATAAGTGGTTATAAGTCATGGGTAGCAAATCCACTGTCTCTTTTTCTGTTCTGGTTGCTGCTTCCCTCCCCGTGACAAGTATTCAAATACTGCCTCTGTCTTTTGGGGGCACATTTGTTCTTCTACAGAGAACATTCAGAAAACTCCCTGCATCAAGCCCACAATGTGAAAATCCAATACAGATATGAGGCTCTCTTTCTCCCCACCTCCATCCACCAAAATGAGTGGCCAGATCTATACCCCTTTATTTTTTTTGGCTTTGATCCCCTCACCTAAATAGATATTGTTCTTGGATGCTCCTAGCAAGATAATCCTGGCCCCCACTGGTGGTCTTTACTTGACTACAGGGAACCCCTATACCACCTCATCAAGTCAGATAATAATGCATACTGCCCCCCATGCCAGCCCAAAGGCCCTCCTCATTTCCACCCTCTATGTCTTGCTCTTGCCCTTGCAGGCAGTGGCACACTTTCTGATGGGTTCAGGTTTAGGGCTAAAGCAAAAATTCAGAGAATAGACTATCATCTGTTCCTACCCATACAGAGAAAGTAGTCCAAACACCCCAATCTTGTAGAACTATAAGAAAAATATCAGATGCTCTCTCTTAAAAGGGAGTAAAATACCATTGCCAATTAACAAACTGAATTTTCCCCAAATCAACTGCTTCTTCCAGTAACCTTCTTATATCTTTTCTTGAGAAATGTCTGGAAATTCTTGAGGCCCTCCCCAGGGGGTAGAGTGGGAGAGACTCATCTTAAGAAGCAAAGTCTCTATGGTCTTGGGCCTAGAGAATTCAGTAATTTTTCCCATCAAAGCAAACACTATCATAACCCATGAGCTACTGCTAAATGGCCTCCAGGTAGATTTCTGCCAGTCCCTACATAAAGCCCACATTAAGTTTACATTCTCAAATGCTCTGCCAGGTTCTCCAAAGAATTCCTGAGTAAAAGGATACCGAACCTCACTTGTATAGTCTGAAAGGGGATATTAGACAAATAGTTGCACTAACCATAATGAAAAAGTTGAATACATAAAAGTTAAGGATAGATTGTACCATACCAAAAACTGCTCAGTAACCATTTTCTTACATTTGAAATGGAGAAAGATATTTCTCCCATTTCCTTTCATGATCAGGGATTATGAAGATACTGGCATTTGTTCTGATCCTTGAAGAGAAGGACAAATTTGAACTTGTATATTTAGGTGGGGAGGCAATTAGAGGTGAGGACATTTTTTGGAGACAGTAAATCACAGGGGTAACATTTAACTATGCTTAAGTATAATGTTTCTCAACTTTCCTTATTATAGGAATCACTAAGGGTACTTGTTAAAAATACAGATTCCTAGCTCCACCCCAGACCTCTGGATCAGATCCAGAGAGGAGACAAGGAATCTGAATTTTTAACATACACCTCCTCAGTAATTCTTATAGTGAAGAGAGTTGAGAAACACCAAGGATCTGAAGTCTCCATTGAGTAAGACATAAATTGTAACCTATCTCACTGAACAACAACAAAAAAAACTGAGTAAATGGACTCTCTTTGTGTAAAATTTAGTGCTGAATAAGACTCTAATTAAAGGTTTCTAAACACAGAAATAAGCTTTTATGAGAGTTGGGCTCACCATCCATTAAAAACTTTTTAAATGGAGATCACCATTTGCCCTAGAGGAGCTGGCCTGGGCAGCAGGCAAAGGATTGAATTATTTGGGGATCGATCATTTGAGGATTATGAGAAAATAAAAGCCACTCAAATTAGCATGAATGAAAAGTTTATTGTGAGACATGAGAGGATCTCAAAGAAGCCAAAAAGAGGACCCAAAGCTGGAGCTTAGGGAAACTAGAAACTAGAAAGTCTCCAGGTACATTTGCTCCTTCCTACCTTTTCTCTCTCTTTGAGACTAAGCATTCTGCTTCTCCTTCTCTCTCTCTGAGAGGGAGGAGAGAGAAAAAGAGGCAGATGCAGAGAGATAGAGACAGAGACTAGCTTCACAACTTAATCATCCCCTTAGAAATTGCAATCTTACCTTCTAAATGAATCTGACTAAACAGATACTTACAGTGAACTGATAGAGTCTCCGTGCTCCAATTTCACATTTCCCCAGTGATAAAATCTGATTGGTTCATCATAGGTCATTCTGAGTTACCTGAAGTCTTATCTAAAGAATTTCTGTATCTACAAACTCAACCCAAAAGCTTTTGCTCAATCTCTTCAAAATTTTACTATACCTAATCTCCATCATCTTAAATCTCATAAATTAAATGTGTGTGTTTTTAATTAATTTTCATGTAGCTCATTTAATATTGAACAAGTTATCTGAAGTCCAGGTACCTTTTAGGAAGCTATCAGTCCTTTCTGTTTAGACAAAGGACTAATTTCTACCCTCTGTGTGTGGAACTTGAACCCAGTTGTTCTTCATCTTGAGCCTGATTGATCAAAATGGTCCCCAAGAAATTCAACACTAAATTTAATCCTGGGATCAGTTGTCCTTGTTTTAAGTAGGATAAACTGCTTTCTATGTCTCACACAAATAGGAGATATGAAAGGTCACCAAACTGAGGAATAATTCTATCCAGAGATTCTTGTAGCATCACAAATGGAAAGTACATTGCAGGCCCTCACACTACATGGAAAGTGTGTGCTGGTGTTTTAAACCCACTCTTGTTCTTTTTCCTTTGCTTCTAATGGGCCCTCCTTGACTTGTCACCCAGTTCATCCTCTCCATCTTTCTCTGCTACCTCTTCACAGTCACGTTCTCCTCAAAACCCAAAATATGGATGACCTTTACCCAATGACACCAGGATTTATAAGATTCTACTTTCACAAATAGACTCATTTTAGAATCTCTCATTACTTTGAGGCTCCAGTAGAGAAAAAGTAGGAGAAAAACTCCATTTATTAAAACATTCCAGAGAGGAAACCAGCCAAGGAAATTGCATAAAAGACCAGAAGCAAAGGAGGTGTTTGGTTTGGTTTGGTTTTTTTAAGTTTCACTTGATGCCCTCTGATCCCCTTGGCTTTGAAAAGCTAGCACCTGATTCATCTCCAGATGTCAGATTCAGCAATTCCAACAGTTTTCCAGAGATTTTGTCTTTTGCAATCAAGGTTAACCCTGAAGATGGATGTACAGAGTCTGAAAAGAGAATGTCTGTCACAAAGACAAAGAGGTAACTTGAGGTACAGTAAAGTTTTAGAGGAGAATACAAAAAGAAGAGCTGAATAGTAACTGTACCTAGTTCTTGGCCTTGAAATAGTTCATTTAGATGGAATGTGAACAATGAAGCTCTCTGGGCTGGGATGTAAGGAGAAGCATACATCTGAACAAAAATACGGCAAATAGAAAAGGAAAATGGAGCCAACTGTGATTGCACACACCTGTAATTCCAGTACTCGGAGACTAAAGCATGAAGATTGCAAATTGAACCCCAACCTGGACAACTTAGCAATTTAGCAAGGTCCTGTCTCAAAATAAAAAGGACTGGGAATGTACCTTAGTGTAAAGGACCTGGGTTCAATTCTCAATACTGCTAAAAGGAAAAGGAATAAACATTACTTTTTCAAGTTTTTTAACTGAGGTGACATTTTAAAGTGTACGTTTTAGCAAACTCACAATGTTATGCAACCACCACCTCCTCTACTTTTAAAACTTTTTCATTGTCCCAAAAGAACATCCTATGCCTATTGGGTAATCATTCCTTGTTTTCCTTTCCCATTCACCACCTCCCATGCAGCCACTAATTTGTTTTCTGAACCTATAGATTTGCCTGGATTTACCACATAAAAGGAATCACACAATGTTACCTTTTGGTCTGGTTTCTTCGACTTAATGTTTTAGTATCATCTTTTCAAGGTTTATCCAAATTATACATGGTATCAGTACTACATTCTTTTTTGAATGGCTAAAAAATTACTACATTTTATATATGTACTATATGTTGTTTATCCACTCACCTATTAATTGACCCTTGAGGTGTTTCTACCTTCTGGCCCTTACTTACAATACTACTATGAATACATGTATACAAGTTTCTGAGAAGTGAGAACACCGTTTATCGGTACCTGCAAAAGAAAAGAAATAACATTTTTAAAGTAGCAACGCAGTATCCATGCTTCCACATGTTGCAAAGTGTACAGTAGCACAAACTTGGGAGATAGACCAAATGAAGTAAAAGAGAAAAATCTGAATGTTTCTCAGCCACATATCAAATTGGGACTCTAGAGGCTGATGTTGGCACTTGAACATACTTAACAGGAAGCCTACTGACCCAGATAAAACTAATGGAGATAAAACTGACTGACCACACTTCTGCCAAGAAATAAAGAAATGTTATGGGCAGTTTCAGAGATGATTGAACAAAGGTATACACAATGATTGATGAATTAACATCACTAAAAGATGAGCTCTTCTGATCATGTTCCCAGAACAGACATGGAGTGGGGGTGGAAAGAGGAATGAATTCAGAACCATTGTCTATTTTTTCCATGAAATTTATCTTATTTTTTTAAAGGACTGCACAGCTGCAGCAATTGTGTGAGCATTTGGGGACTGTCAACCCCTCATCTAACTTTGTGAAGAATTCTTCTGAGGTAAAATTTATTGAGTTCAGCTGGAGAATCTATCCCACCCCACTAGCACAAAGCCACATGCCCACCAAAGACTGCCTCTCTTCTCCTGCCCTGAAGAGATCAGAAAGCAAGAGTCCACCCAGGGAAAACACATGGAGTCAATTTGTACCTAAAGTTAGCCCACAGCTTTCCACATTCTAGAAGAGATAAGATGGGGAGAGCAACATCGTAAAAGAAACAACAGGCCAACAAAGTTCATCTTTATTAAGGGCATTTGTCTTTTTGTAGAATATCTATTCTGCTTTTGGCCAGGTTTTAGTTTTCTAAATGTTCACTAGAAAAAATGTTCAGATTTTTTTTTCTAAAAGTTTCTGGATCTTCAGTGATTCTAAGGTATTCTATATCAATGTGTGCAATGTAGAAATATTACTGGCACCGAATAAATAAATAAAGGATATTTAAGAAAAGGAGTGGGGGGTTGCAGGGAAGGAAGCTGACATCTGCTTCTGCTCATAGCATTTGATTCAGCCCACCTCGAAGGACCCCCCACCCCTGCTGGGTCTTGGTGCTGTCTGATATTCACAAAGCAGCCCTTCTCTCCTCCAAGTCACCATGTTGACACTGGGACCCGAGCAAATGTTGAAAAGCAATGTGGAGGTCCTCCTTCAGTCGCACGCTGTAAACAGTCAGCCATAACCTCTGTTCTCTTTGCTCAGAAACCAAATGTGAGCCCTTCCAACTCCCTGCCTTTGAGAACACACTTTAAGGAAGACCATTGCTAGAAAATATTTCCCATGTTGGAGATAAACTGTTCTTTCAGGACATTATGAAGGAAAGTTCTTAAACATAAATGAATCCAGCCAAGCAATCTTCATTTTAGGAGCACTGAGACTACCTCCTCATCATTAAAATGCACTCGAAAGGAACAATTCAATAGAGAGTCTCCAGAAAAAATAAACTGCATGGTTATATGTTGGCGGGGGGTTAATTAGTCAGTTGTGTCCATTAGTTCAAGTGGACCTCAAGATAAACACAACTTATAATTTTAATATACTTTTGTAGAGATATTCATTGAGATACCAAAAAAAAATGGAAGTGCACTGGAGTCCTTGACTTATTTTTGTGATTAAAAGCATAATAAAATGTATTATTTTAATCATTTTAAGTGTATAACAGTAGTAACTATATGCATATTGCTGTACAATGAATCTCTAGGACTTTTTAATCCTGCAACCTGAAACTCTGTACTATTTGAACAATAACTCACTTTTCCCTCTGTCTCTAGACTCTGGGAACTACATGGGAAGTATTATCCTACTTTCGAAAAGTTAAGGATTCCTGGGAGGCAGGAGCGGCACAGGCGGTGGCAGGGCTCCTCCGGGCTGCTGGCTGGGAAGGCCTGGGCGACACTCTGTAGGGGAGCCCGGAGCACCGCGTTCCAGCCCCAGGGAAGTGTATTTGAAAATTTGGGAGCAACATTTAAGAATTAAGAGAATTGGCCTGACCGAGGTCCCCAGTCATGCGGAAAATGCCAAATCACCCTGCTGCAGAAAGGCAGCCACCTGGTTCCACACTACAAAGATGCAGAGGACACCAGACCACCAGACCAAGGTACTGAGTCCTGCCGCTCCCAGCCCAGAGGTAGGGGCTTCTGAGCCACCCTCCCACTGCTCCTGTTCCAGAGGAAGGGGCTTCCCGATCACCATCCCTCCCACTGCTCACAGCCCAGAGGAAAGGGCTTTTGGGCCACCTTCTGTCCCGCTGCTCCTGGCCCAGAGGAAGGGGCTTCCAGGCCACAATCCCTCCCACTGCTCCCAGCCCACAGGAAAGGGCTTTTGGACCACCATACCTACCACTGCTCCCGGCCCTTCTCCCACCTCTCCCAGCTCAGAGGAGGTAATCCGCGCAGGCAATAACAGGCCCCCGCCCCAGCCCAAATGAGAAAACACATAACTAAGTCTCAAAACCAGACTTCCAGATCACCCACAGCAACCGCAAAGGGAAATGAGATGGAACACTCTGATACTCAACCACCTGGACCCACTGAACTGGCAACAAAAGGGGATCTGGAAAAAATGAA